TGTTTTATAACACACACACACACACACACACACACCTGTCTCTTATACACATCTAGATGTGTATAAGAGACAGGACATACGATCTCCGCATGTGTCCCTGAGAGGACAAGGACGAGAAAAATGAAGAAGAAGAGGATAGAGAGCATCATCAGGTGGAGTTCTTTCAAATCGCAAAAGGCAACACAGCAGCAGTCGGTGTGAGCAGTCCAGATCCCTCGATCACCTAACAGACAGGATCAGATTCAGCGGTGCGAGCGAAGGAAGAAGGGAGAAAGCAAGCGAGACCACAACTTTTCTTTTAAAACAACTTTGCATTTTCACAAATGTTCATGAAAGCGACCAACTGGCGGTCCTGGGCTCATCCGATTCCTCCTATTTTTTATTTATTTTACCTACACCTTGCTGTCCAGAGGGGGCTGGTCCAGAGGAGGCTGGTCCTGAGGGGGCTGGATGAAGATCATATGGCACTCTCAGACAAAGGGATCTAGATCAAGATCATATATTAGCTTGTGATATAGGTACTATTGAAGACTTGAACTGCAGTGATATCTCCCAGACAAAGGGAGTTACATCCAGATCAAGCTTTCTTGGACAACAAGGAAATCTAGAATCTGATTCAGATCACACATTCTCAGTGCAGGGATCCAGATACAGATCCAGTTATCTCCGTGGAGGCACTGGAGGGATCCAGATCCAGAGCACAGTTTCTCAGCGGAGGGATCCAGATCCGGAGCACAGTCGGGGGAGGGATCCAGATCCCGATTGAGCTTACTTAGACAAAGGGATCCAGATCACCGCAGATAAGGGCTCGAGATCATGCTTTTTTGGATGAAGGGGCCTAGATCATGCTTTCTTGAATGAAGGGATCGAGATCCACATCGATATTTCTCAGACAAAGAATCCAGATCCAGATCTAGATGTAGATCTAGATCGATCATTCTTAGACAAAGGGGGGATCCAGATCCAGCGTTTTCAGGTACAGGATCCCAGATCAAGCTTTTCTTGCCTGAACGGATCCAGATCCGCTTTGAGCTTTCTCAGACAAAGCGATCCAGATCGATCTATCGAGCTTTTCCAGACAAAGAGGGGATCCAGATCCAACGTTTTCGGATGAAGGACCCACTGCAGATCAAGCTTTTCTTGGATGACGGAGTCCATAATTGACATTGAACATTTGTCGATCAAAAGAAAAAGCGATCCAGATCAAGATCTCTCAGAAAAAGGGTTGGTTTCTTTCCGATTGCCTACTTGCTGCTGGCATCTCCGTCGCTCAGATCTCTGTGATTCTGCAAGTGGCATTGTGCAGCCCAGTGCTTGGAAAAGACACATAGTAATTTAGCTTGAAGCCTTGAAGATAACCACGCTTTATTCAAGTCTTTACGCCGTTTATGGCTATCTATGGCCGAGGCATCAAGCACCTAGCTATGGACATTGTGTTTGTGTGCCGTTGATTTTGTGCGTGTGTGCCTGTGTGTGTGTGTGTGTGACACTGTGTGTAAGTGTGTGTGTGTGTGTGTGCTTCTGTGTGTCACCGTGTGTGTGTGTACAAAGGAGACAGAGAGAGAGAGAGAGAGAGAGAGAGAGAGAGAGAGAGAGAGAGAGAGAGAGAGAGGGAAACGGAGAGATGCAGTTCCTTAAACCAGTACGTACTTTGAGTACGAATCTAGCCATGACTAAGAAATCGTTCTTGTCCACATCCCTCCCTAGCAGTGGGGACGAGAAGGTGAGGATGGGGAAGGCGTTTCTAGAGGGTGAAGGGGGCATCGTGCAAGACAACACCGAGGCAGCAAAGTGGTTTGCAAGAGCGGCGAGGGAGGGGCATGCGGAAGGGCAGTACTGGTTTGGCAGAATGCTTTATGAGGGAAAAGGGTTCGAGCAGGACTCTGTCAAAGCCATTAAATGGCTGCGAAGGTCGGCAAAGCAGGGACTCCCTGAGGCATTCTGGATGCTGGGAAAGATGTACCAGACTGGGAATGGGATGCGCAAAAGTAGTGCCAAGGCATTCAGTTACTTTCAAATTGCGGTACGTGCGATGTGCATCCCTTCACTCTCTCCAGCATACATTATTTAATTTATTCATAAAATTTAATGATTTCTAATTCTCGTTATAATTATGATTTCTGTCTCATCCCTTGTCTATTGCCTGTCGCCTTTCTTTTTCTTCCTCCCTCCTCTACACTAGGTCTTGCCTTTTCTCTCTCCAATGCAATGCATCAGATTCTGTATCCAATTCGTCCTTTGTGCTTGCTCTTCCTCCTTCCTCTCGCGATCCTTGTCCAGGTTGTCCTCCTCCCCCATTTTCTCACAACCCTTTCTGAACTCCTATTTCTTCCCACCGTTGTAGTCCATCCCTTCCTCCTTCTCTCCCCCTCCCCCCCTCCCGCCCTCCTCGTCCTCCC